GCCCGCCGCTGGCCCCCTGCACACAATGCTCGCGCCGCCGGCGCGGAATACTGGGGTTCGTCCATCGGTGCCGGAAACATGGGCTTGAACCTTTAACCACCACTCAAATGTAAGGGATTGCAGGATGGTGGCTGCGGCCCTAGTTGGATGGCCCATGGCAGCAGCATGCGGGGCAGCTGGCAGGGTGTCTCGGGTCCTGGCCTTGGCTGCCTGCCAGCTCAGCTCTCTCGCAGCCACCAGGCTGGTTGGGGGCGTTGCCTTTGATAGCCCCCCTTTGGAGCCAGCCACAGCACTGCCACAATGACAGTGGGGACTATGCAACGAGTGAAAACCAGACCCCACGACGTCACCCGCCGTGCTGCCAGGCAGCACCGCCCGTGACCCCTCTGACAAGAGCAGAGCTTTCAGAGAGTACATGTTGGAACGGCTGCGATTCCGGAGGCAGTGGCAGGTGCACCGCCTCGTAATCAGTTGAGGGGCTTGCCGGCATACAGGGGTTATGGAGGTACAGCTGGCCGAACCAGCCGCACGGGGTGACGCCAGGGTCGGCCGACAGCAAAGGAGCACGTGCACCCGTGCCTAAGGCATACGTGCCGAACACATCCCAGCCCCACAGGAGCGGCCTCAACAACCAAGAGATTACATTATATCTGCAGATCCCCAAGCTGTGACCTCCGTGCATGATGCCCTGAGAAGTCAAATTCACAATGTCAACGTCACTCCATCGGGTGAGTGACATGGAGCGTGCAACCCATGTCTTGCACACGCATGGTTGGGCTGCTCACACCCATTATTTGAATCTCGCACTGATTCCTGTTTTTCTTAGCCATGCTGCCGTCGAGAACGCAGCCCGTGCCGATGCAGAAACAGCCCCGGCACCAGCACCAGGGGCCGTCGATCCCAAACCTGTATTACCGTGCGCATAGCACGGAGGCGCTGCGTCACGATGAGTCCTTCATTGCTTTGATGCCAGAGGAAGAGGTTGAGCTCGTGGGGACCGGCAGTCTCAGGTGCAGATCGAAGGGCCATTGGCAGTGCTGCTGCTGCTGCTGCTGTACCCGTGATCAATGCTTGAAGAAGCAGCCAGCGTGCTGGGGGCGCTGCAATATGGCTGCTGCGTGAAGCGCTTCGGCGTGGCTGTGGCACGCAGCACCAGCGGCGGCACCGCAAACGGAACTGCGCCTTCTGCGCTGCCGCGCTCTCCTTTGGATGTGCAATCAAGATATATCCGCCAGGGGAGCGAGACCTGGCGTCGCGCGCATGCGGGGCGCGTCACGACCGGCGGGCTGCTTGGGGCGCTGGGCTGGCGGCATGAGAAGGCAGCTGCCCGAATTAACCTTCAGCGCAACATGGTAAGCTCGTGCGCCAGGGCGCTCTCGGCCTGGGTCGCCCTGCGGCAGACCTGGTTGAGTGCTGCTTCAGCCTCGCAGACTGTCGTGTATCCCTTTCAAAAGCCGTCTTGACACGTGTGGCTGCTGCGCGGGCGGAAGCCTGGCGGCCGTCATCGCTGGCCGCCCCCTGCCCTTGCCGGCGGCGCCTTCCGGACAAGCCCCGCCGCGACGGCAACGGCGCAACTGCAACCCGGGCGCGCCGCCACGCGTCAACCCATCGCCCGCAGCGCGGAAACGAGCACCTGCAGAACGCCTACTTGCAGTTGCTGGCCGGGCTGGACGACCCCACAACGCCCGGCGCCCCCGCCGCCGTCGCCGGCAGTGGCGGCGGCGGCAGCCACAGCAGCGGCAGCGGTAGCAGCGGAGCCCCAGCGGCGGCGACGGCGACAGCGGCGGCAGCGGCGGCGGAGCGCAACGAGCGGCGGCGGGCCGAATACAATGCGGGCCTGAGCGGGGCGCCGCCACCGCAGACGAGCGCAATTGGTGGGCGCCTGGCGGGCGCCGGCGGCGCACGCACACGCACACCGCTCGCGTGCGGACGTTGGTTGCGCGCTGCCGCGCGGCGCGGCGCGGCCGGCTCTCGACGACGCTGATGATGCCGCCGCCCCCCTGTACTGCCATCGTTGCCGCCTTCCCGCCTTCAGGCGCACGTCCGCACCCCCTCGTCTGCGCCCCCCCCCCCCCCCCCC